CCCCCAATCTCCTTCACCCGTCCACCATAGCCACGCGCCTTCCACGTTCTTCCTCCTCCATCTCCCTCATCCATCCGCCATAGCCAAGCACCTTCCATCCTCTTCCTCCTCCATCTCTCACTCCCATCCACCATAGCCAAGCACCTTCCATCTTCTTCCTCCCCCATCTCCTTCACCCGTCCACCATAGCCACGCACCTTCCACCTTCTTCATCCTCCATCTCCCTCATCCATCCGCCATAGTCGAGCACCTTCCACCTTCTTCCTCCCCCATCTCCTTCACCCGACCACCATAGCCACGCGCCTTCCACCTTCTTCCTCCTCCATCTCCCTCATCCATCCGCCATAGCCGAGCACCTTCCATCCTCTTCCTCCTCCATCTCCCACTTCCTTCCACCATAGCCAAGCACCTTCCATCTTCTTCCTCCCCCATCTCCTTCACCCGTCCACCATAGCCACGCACCTTCCACCTTCTGCCTCCTCCATCTCCCTCATCCATCCGCCATAGCCAAGCACCTTCCACCTTCTTCCTCCCCCATCTCCTTCACCCGACCACCATAGCCACGCACCTTCCCCTTTCTTCCTCCTCCATCTCCCTCATCCATCCACCATAGCCAAGCACTGTAGCATATCAGAAAGTGAAATGCACTGAAAGCCTAGGATCTAGCAATGACGAAAGTGGCAACAACCAGCAGCATAGGTGCAACATTCACAAAGTGTCAATGTGCACGATGCARAGAGTGAAACAACGAGAARTCAACAACAACACATTCGTATCATTATCATCATAGGCTGGGAAGCAGCGCAGCGGAAGATTTAGTATCAAGAGAACACGTGGACAACAACATCAAAGGGAGAAACTTTGGAAGGGCAAGACACTAGAAAGATTGCCCTTCCGCTCACACACATGGGGAGAGATCCATAGACATGCGAGAGAGAAGGGGGAGGGACATGGAGGTAACCAAGTCCAACCCAAGTCTGATCTCCGAATGTCGCACACAACTCAATCCCAATGTAGAATGTAAGTCCGATCTGAATGTCGTGTCCAATAAGGCACAAGGCCGTGTCCAAAACAATGTCTGCAGTTACCTCTATCTCTACTCTGATAAAGAAGAAGAAGAAGAAGAAGAAGAAGAAGAAGAAGAAGAACTTCGGAGGAGTAGGAGGAGAAGAGGAGAGGAGAAGAAGAAGAAGAAGAAGAAGAAGAAGCAGAAGAAAGCTAGGCACTTTCTGCACTTACCTGGCGATGGCTGAACTTGTAGGTACCGCGGAGCCAGCTATCGCGCTGG